CTTGAATTTTTTATATTTGGTTTATCCGATGTAGAACGTCTGCTCCAAAGCTCTGTTGAATAATGAAACATTTTCCACATTTAGCATCCACTCTCAGCACGAGGCAGTCACAGGTCAGGTATCACATGAGTTAGCTCCCTTTCCACTCCTGTGACACTATGGCTTAACCTGGGTATTTTCTACTGCTCCTTAGTGATGTACTAGCTATCCTTATGCAAAGTGAAGTTGCCAAATTATGTTGAGGATTTTATATTGAATAGAATTGAAATTGGTGAAATTCATTTGTGCAGTGTTGGAGACCTGTAGCTCAGTGGTTAGAGCACTCGCCTTTGCAAGCCAGAGACCTGTAATCGATTCCCGGCAGGGTGAAACCTTGGCCAAGTTTCCTGACTCCACACCCCTGATAATAATCCCTCAAAAAACAACAATAAATTGGTCATTTCAATCCATGACAACTGTCTGTGGGACGCTGCTGTGCGCAATTGGCTGCCACATTTCGCCCACAAATACACAGTCAATTTCACTTTAAAGTCTATTCTGTGAAGCGCTTTGCGACGTCTAGAAGATGTGAAAAGCGCTATGTCAAATGCAAGGATTATTATTATTATTAGTATGTATCTATCGCTTTTACAATGGACCAAATTCAAACCCAGGTGCCTTGAGTTACAATTTTTTGTAGACTGTTGCATTCCAAATCACAAAAGTTTGAAACTATTCATTATTATCTGTCTACTGGCTTTGTTGTCTGTCTACTGGCTAACGCTTATCGAGGAATATACTGTTATAGAAACATATACAGTGTGTTGGACGTCAGCATAAAGAGTTCAGCTCAGTTTGCATCAGTTTTTCAGCAGACGTCACTTCTGGTTTCCAGTGTAGACGAGCTGACGTTCGGCGTATATTTGCTGGAGCCAGCCATGAGCACCTTGAAGCGCTTGCAAGAGTGGTCAAGGGTGGATGAATGGCAGGAAGCGTACACTTTGTGTGGTATCTGGGGGAACGCCACTGTACCCTTCCCTCCAGTCAGAAAAGCAGCCGTTCACCACGACTCTCTGCTTTCTGTCTCCCGGCCAGTTCTGGATCCATACTGCCACTGTCCCTTTTATACCATGGGCTTTTATCTTTCTTACAAGTCTTTCATGTGGCACTTTGTCAAATGCCTTTTGAAAGTCCATATAAACTACATCAACTGCACTACCTTTATCCACCCGCTCCGTTACCTCATCGAACAATTCTATTAGACTTGTTAAACAAAATTTGCCTTTAACAAATCCGTGTTGGCTGTCCCTAATTAACCCATATTCTTCTAAGTGAAGATTTATTCTGTCCCGGATTATAGTCTCCAGGAGTTTCCCCACTACTGACGTTAGGCTGACTGGCCTGGAGTTCCCAGGTTTGTCCTTCTGTCCCATTTTGTACAGGGGAGTCACATTGGCCACTCTCCAGTCCTCGGGCACCACTCCTGTGTCCAACGAAGATTGAAAAATTATAGCCGAAGCCTCTGCTATTTGTACCCGTGCCTCCCATAGTAACCTCGGCTGCATCCCGTCCGGACCGGGTGACTTACCTAACTTCAGCGCAGTCAACCTTTTCAGTCCTTCCTCTCTGTTTATACTTATCCTATCTATTTCCTCTGCCCTCTCCTCCGATACTGCGGCATTTGGTGCATCTACTTCTTTTGTGAAGACAGATGTAAAGTACTCATTTCAGTACATCAGCCATGGCCTCTGCCTCCACAATAAGATTTCCCCCTTGGTCCTTAATTGGCCCCACCCTACCTTTGACTCACCTTTTTTCCTTGATATGTTTGTAAAATACTTTAGAATTCCCTTTAATGTTACCCGCTAACCTTTTTTCGTATAATCTTTTTGCCCCTCATTTCGTTTTTCAAACCTCTTCTGCACTTCCTATATTCAATTGGTTGTCTTCTGTATCTTGGGTTTGACATTTGTCATACGCCTCCTTTTTCTGCTTCATTTCCGATACAAATCCCTTTTTAACTCACTGAAATTTACCCTCTTCCAGTTAAATATCTTTACCTTAGATGGTTCCTTGTCTCTTTCCATATGCACTTTGAATCTAATGATCTTATGATCACAATTACGCAGATGTTCTCCCACTGACACCGGCTCCATTCCCCAGAACTAGATCCAGCACTGCTTCCTTCCTTGTTGGGCTGGAAACGTACTGATCAAGAAAGTTGTCCTGTATGCATTTTAGGAATATTTCCCCCTCCTTGCCCTTTGCGCTATTGTTTTGCCAGTCTATGTTGAGATAATTAAAGTCCCCCATTACCTCAACTCTATTGGCCTTGCATCTGTCTGAGCTCTTCTTGCAGATCTGCTCATCTATTTCCTTCCCACTATTTGGTGGTCTATAGTTTACCCCTACCAGCGTAACAGCTCCTTTTTTTTTCCTTAACTCTAACCAGAAAGATTCTGTTTTGGGGCCCTCCAGCACCTCGACCCTTTCCACGGCTATAACCGTATCTTTGACTAACATTGCCACACCCCCTCCTTTTTTTCCTTCCCTATCTCTCCTGAATATATTGTAGCCAGGAATATTCAGCTCCCATTCCTGTCCTTGCTTGAGCCAAGTCTCTGTTACTGCTACTACATCGTATCCCCCTATGACCACTTGAGCCTGCAGCTCACCAATCTTGTTTGCTAAACTCCGTGCATTTAGGCACATGCACTCCAAGACCGACTTGACCTGTTCTGTGCTTCCCCCCCTGTTTCATTTCTCCATTTTCTAGCTCTTCGTTTTTTGCATTCCCTTCCCCCCTCAAAACTACTTTAAACCCTCCCCAAAAGCAGTAGATAGACTGTCTGCAAGCACATTCGCCCCAGCCCTGTTTAGGTGCAACCATCCATATGATACAGGTCCCACCTGCCCCAGAAATGGTCCCAATGATCCAGAAACTTGAAGCCCTCTTTTCTGGACCATTTCTCCAGCCAAACATTCATATACTTGATCCTGCCATTCAGGTACTTATTTGCCCGAGGCACAGGGAGCAATCCAGAGATCACCACCTTGGATGTTCGATTCTTTAGTGTCTTCCCCAGCTTTTGATATTGACCCTGTAGAGTCTCAGCCCTTTTTTTTTACCAATATCATGGATCACCACTTCTGGATGTTCTCCTTCCCCCTGAAGAATTTTATCCACCCTTTCTGCGATGTCTAAGACTGTTGCACCAGGGAGGCAACATACCATCCTTGAGTCCCGTCTTCTGTTACATGACGGCAAGATTGGAAAATTTCACTTGTCAAAAATTTCTTTAGAACCGATTATCCCAAAGTGATATAGAGTTAAATTCCTAAATCAAAATTCTTGGTATTGCAGTATACAGATCTTTGCTGACTATAGCAAGTACTGATGCGTTTGCCCAACCGCTTTCCAAAACAATAGTAGGCATTGTCATTGACATTGTGTGCATAACGGAGAAGGGGTTCAACTGATATTCTATGCTCTGGTGAAAAAAGCTTGCAGTAGTTGTTTAATGCTGGGTCTTCTCATCCAACAGTTCAGGGATTACTTTGCTAAACGTTCTGCTGCTTTGCTTTGGTTGCTTTGGATCAAGCCACTGCTAAGTGCTCTGGGACACTACCCACCTGAAGAGTGCTATATAAATGCAAGTTGTTGTTTTAACAGTCTTGCCGCAACAGAATGGTGTGCCATTGTGGTTTATTGCATATTGTGACGCCCAAGTTTTTTTTGTATAGGGCGGACACAGTAGTTGATAGAAGCCACAGGTCCACTGACCGCATTGTTTGATGGAAATGTACTTGCTGCTACTCAAATGGATTTCTGTCACAGGCGCTTGGTTTAAAATTGGCCCGAGAATCCAAAAGTGTGGAGTCCTGTCACATAGTAGTTATCACGATCGCCGGTTGTTAGTCGATTGGCGGATCGCTTTCCGGGGGTAATAATCCCTCCAAAAGAAAAAAGATTGGTCACTCAATCCATGGCTGTTTGTGAGACACCGCTGTAGCAATTGGCTGCTGCTTTTTTCCCCACAAAATACACAGTCAATCCACTTTTCAATATACTCTGTGAAGCGCTTTGAGATTTCTCAGCGACACGATAAGGCTCTATATCAAATGCAAGGATTATTCTTATCATAAACGCTGGGAGTCCCATTCCAAGTACCAATTTTCCATTGTTTGTGGAAAACAACGTAGTTCGCCTAATAACCCCGTTGAGGGTTACTTTTCTGCAATGCAATAAATCTATTGAAATCTATTTTAACTACAAGTGTATGTAACTTTTTATTCAGTAGCTTTTAGATTGGTCAGAAACACATATTTAATTTGTATCTGAAAAGAAGGCTGTCTCAAATTAAGGAGTTGAAGGATATTGTTATCAAGATATCCCTCATCTGAATAATTTATAGCAGATCCAAGGTAAGGGCTGCAGTTATTGACGAAGCTAGATATCTTAATGGACTGATTGTTTGACATTTAAACCACTTGAGCCAAGCTTTCTTGTTCATTTTAAACTTTCAACAACGACCATGCCTTCGGTCAACATGTTGAAATCTCATTTCTGTTGATTATGTCCACCACTACATTTGTCAAATGTAGAGAGATTTAACTTTAACATGAAAGCGCGATATAAATGCATAAACAAAAACAGAAGTCGCTGGGAACACTTCAGCAGGTCAGGCAGCATCTATGGAGAAAGGAAAGTGAGTCAACATTTCAGGTCCACGACCCTTCGTCAGAACTATATAAATGCATATTGTTTTTATGAAGAGGGTCCTTTGTTTACTTAGTAGTCTTACTACTGCTGCTGACATTGTCCTCTTTAAAAAATAACCATAGTATGTATTGTGCCTATAAAGACACTCTTCTATCCCTGATTTTGTTTCATCTTAATATTTCTAAGTTCTGAGTTTAACATTGCCGTTCTTCCAAATAAATTACAAATAGAAACTGAAGTTTTCATGGATTTATTAATATTGTGAATTTATTAATATTCTGAATTATTTTTTTCACAGAACACAAAGTGATAATCGTGGGATTAGACAATGCTGGAAAGACCACAATCCTTTACCAATTGTAAGTGTGTGAGCTGAAAAATTGTTTTACCATTATAATTTGGGGTGTAATTGTTTTGAACAGTGCGTTTCTCAAAAATGCCACGAGATTACTCTTACAATTTTAGTCGGAATTTTTTTTTCCCCAAACGCTGGTGCAGCTCCCAAAAGGATTAAATCACACCGTTTTTGAGGTAGCTGTTTAGTTAAAGTTGCTCAGTTTAATGGTGTGTGTTGGGCAATGCTTTTGTGGCAGCCATAGGCAGCACTCTTCGTGTGGTGGATCACAGGATCAGTTTCTGCTGGTCTACTGCTGAGCTCCTGATTTCTAGACTGGCTGCTGTTCAGAGGTAATAATAATAATAATAATAATAATCCTTGCATTTGATAAAGCGCTTTTCACGTCGGGAGGACGTCCCAAAGCGCTTCACAGAACACACTGTAAAGTGAATTGACTGTATATTTGTGGGCGAACGCGGCAGCCAATTGCGCACAGCAATGTCCCACAAACAGTCGTAGATTGAAAATGACCAATTTTTTTTATTATTGTTTTTTGGTTTTTTTGGAGGGATTATTATTATCTTGTTGATACTCGTCAACAAGGTGATGTCTCACCACTGTAATCATAGACAGACTGCAGACATGGTTGGGAAGAGAGACTGCAGACATACCGAGCTGAAATCGGATGCCTTCTGCAGAGGCAAGGTGGGGTGGCGAGAGGAAGAGAACTAGATCGGGAGGGGGTGCCCATCAGGCTTGTTCTTGGAAGGATAATGACCTGTTTAGTCATCTTCAGCAGAATTGTGACTTGGGAGAAAACTGGAGGGGGACGGAGAACTTATGGTAAATACATTTATCAATGGAATCAAGAAATTGCAGTGATATTCTTCACTTGGCTAAATAGCAACTATGACTACAGAGTATTTTATTTGTATGTAGGTGGAATACTTAGATCCGGTTACACGATTGTTGGCAGGATCCTTTCCTTGTTCCATGACGTTTTGCTCGCCATCGTTAGCATTCTCAGCCAGATGGGCGTAGTATTCTTTGCTTGATTGCATACTCGCCCTGAGGATACACTTGTCAGATATTTTCCCTTTGATTTAAGAGCTTTACAGCTTTTGTAAAAGCAGTTCTGAAGAATTGACTCAGGGATTTTGGGGGATTTTTAAGATTTTTTTTTGACAGTTTGCCCTCTTTCGGTTCTCTCTCCATACCCAAACTACTGCTGCAAACTACCGCTGACAGTCCAGCAATCTTCTGCCTATGTTGCTTTTATTTGTGTTTTCTTTCCTTTATGTTCTTTCCTCGTCAGACTGGCTAACGTAGAGAAGGCATGGACTGGGGAGGTGAATGACATAGGAAGCTGGCAACAGTATAAAAGAACAAAACATAGTCACATCATTCTTTTACTGTAATGAATCATTTTTTTATCACTACACGATCTGACGTGCATTTGCGTCTGTGAGGCGCACTGAAGCTCAAGTGAGTCTCCACTGACTCGCAAAGTTGTGGAGTGGCTCCTTTCAATTTAACTCTTTAGACCGGGGGTGGGGGGGGGTCTCCAACCGGTCGACGATCACCGCTAGGTGGCGCTCTCGCACATGATCAAAATATTCAAGGAGCGATAGAATTGCGGAGTTATCGAGTCCCAGCGGAAACAAAACCAGGTGCACAAGGCATTTCATGTATCTCGAAATAAAAATATAAACTTCGACCATTTAAACTGTGGTAAACATCGCTCCTTCCTCTAGTGTTTTGTATTGAGCATGTGCAAGCCGCCGCCTACCGCTGATACACTGGTTGGAAACCCCTGCTTTAGGGCAACCTGGGAGCCAATCTGGAGAAGCATGACCTGGGGAAACAGAGTGTATACAGGATGCATCTCTTCCCAATGTTATCAATTGGTTAAATATTTGTTAATTTAGCCTGAGCAAGGGCCAGGCATTTGGCTTCTATGTGAAAATAGTTCACTGGTGGGTTCCATTTTTGTTTTCAGACTTTATTTTTATAATAATGACCTTGCATTTGATATAGCGCCTTTCATGCCCGAGATCTTATGTTCAAAGTTTAACTGACTTCCTCAGTGCAATTGCTGAGAATTGTTCTTGAGGTGTTATTGTTTGACTGCCATAAAGGAAGTGTCTATTAGTGTATACAGCTCCAAACATCTTTTGGTTTCTCTACTTTTGTGTTCTATTGTTTGAATTTTCCGCACTTCCAGAAATCTCAATAAGTGCTTGTTGCTCTGTTTTTCATCCCAGTTCAATGAATGAAGTTGTGCACACATCACCCACAATTGGCAGTAACGTGGAAGAGGTAATGGTGAACAATACACATTTCTTAATGTGGGATATTGGAGGTCAAGAATCACTGCGTTCATCATGGAATACTTACTATACTAATACTGAAGTAAGTTTGAATTTACTGTTACATTTAATTACCTAAAGTACCTAAAATAATGGTTCACTAAATTAATAAGGCATGGTAGTTTGAGTTAATATTCGAGCGCTCAAGAGGCATATAGTGTCTAGTCTAAATAAATGCATTGCTCCACATATGGAAACCATTTTAGACAGCAGCATTTAAATATTATAAAAATACTTGCATTTGATATAGAGCCTTATCATGTCTTCTGTATGTTCCAAAAGGCTTCACAACATTTACTGTGAAGTGAATTGACTGTCTATTTTGTGGGTCAAATATTGCCAGAGCCCATGAGTACTGCATCGTTTAACTCGCCTTGAATTGTGGTTGAAATCATATGGCGCTTATTGATGTGGTTTTATTTTGTCTTCACAACTTTCCCCTCTTTTGAAAGTGGGAGGTTTGGTTAGCTCCATAGAACTGAACCGCAGTGGAAGCTGGCTTTGATGCACAACGTGTTTGCACAAGCTTTCTTTGCTGTATTTACGCACTAATTGTGTGAATGGATGGCTTCTTGCATTGGCTTGCATCACATGTGCTTGACTCATAACATCATGTTAACATGGAGTTCAGTCAGCAGAAGTAAACTTGGAACCAGGAGCTTCTTTGTTGAAATCCTGGTGGGTTCATTCAGCTCTGTGAGAGGGGTCTGCATGGAGATGAAACTGGCTCAGAGAAGATTTGGCAGCTGTAATCCAAGGCAGACTTGGCAATGTAATAATAATAATCCTTTCATTTGATATAGCACCTTATCACATCGTTGAGTTGCCTCAAATGGCTTCACAGAATATATTGTAAAGTGAATTGACTGTATATTTGGCAGCCATTTGCATACAGCAGTATCCCACAAACAGTCGTGGATTGAGTAACCACATTATTATTATTTTTCTGTGGAGGGATTATTATCCCCGGAAAGCGATCCGCCAATCGCCTAACAACCGGGTTCCTACTTATTGCTAGCTAAACAGAGATGTATGGAGTAAGGAAAATTGCCTAACCTTCGCCCTGCCCGGGAATCAAAATAAATATAGTCATGTCCTCAAAGTGAGTGTCAAAACCCTATCTGTGGTGGGGGGAGTGGGATACAAGCTGTTCAAGTATGGTCTTGCATGAATATGAATCTTACTCGTACGACTATATTGCAAAATAAAATTGATGCCTCCATTTCAGCTCCTATCTAAACCAATCAATGTCTTTGCAGTTTGTGATCGTTGTTGTGGACAGTACGGACAGGGAAAGGATAGCCATTACCAGAGATGAACTCTACAAAATGTTGGCTCATGAGGTAAGCATCTTTTGCTTCATCCGTTCACATGTATTGCAACACGTTCTGATTGTAAAGAGAAATAACTGTTGTTGGTTACAATACTTATCTGAAATTCATTAGTACAAACAGAAATTGATTCCTGTCTAGCAAGGCTCTATAAATTTATAAACCTGTATTTATTTCAGGTATCACTGAATCATTTTGTGATTAATTACTCCCCCACACCTTAAAAGATGTAAACATTTTTAGTAGTTTTAGCTGTTCAGAAGGGTTCTTTTGAAATAAGCAATGTTTCCTTGAAATCTTTTTCTCCACGGAGTAAAAGGTGGGTAGTTTGCATCGATGAAGGAAACCAATTTATCAATTATATCTGGGGGATTGTTGGCTAGGACAGCGGGAGAAATTCCCTTTTTCGAATAGTATCATGGGATCATCTGAAGACGGCACCTCCAACAATGAAGCGCTTCTCAAGCACTACGTTGGGTTGTCAGCCTGGGCTGAGTGCAGAGGCCTGACATGGGACTTGCCTCACAACATTCTGATTCAAGAGAGTACTACCAACTAAAACCAACCAAATCAAACTCCCTGAATTTCTGAAAAATGCAGCCAATTCACAAGCAACTGACCTAATTGTGAGTGCCAAATCTGATTCTTGTTGTTGGCAGCCACTGGTGAAGTGGAGTCTGAATTAATTTTTCACAAGAATGATTTGAATGCATCAAAAATATTAAATCCCCCCACGCTGTTTTCTTAAATTATTCAAGCAGAATTTCAACTCAGATGAATTTTAAGCTCTATGTAAATTGGGTGCATTGTTGAAGGCTTTTTTGTGTTGTATTACCGAAGACCTAGGTCCTATCCAGTAATTTAAAAGTATGGCTGTTTTATATTAAATCACTTTTTTTATTGTGAATGGGCACACATCAAATTCGTAAAGCACAATAAGTTTTAAAATCAGCAGACAGTGGGTATCGCTACTGGAAACAAGGTATAGATTTGGCATGGACATGCCTGGACTGGTGCAGGTGTTTGGCTTCTTGACGCTCCAGGAAGTCCTGTAGCTTAGTGGTTAGAGCATTCGTCTCGCAAGCGAGAGGATCTGAGTGATTCTCAGGAGGGCAAAACGTTTGGCGGAACGCTTTTCCGGGGGTAATAATCCTGTAAAAAATAATAATAATAATTTGATCACTCAAATCCACAACTTTTTGTGGGACTGATGTGCGCAATTGAGTGCCACGTTTCTCCCACAAAATATCCAGTCAATTCATTTTACGGTGTATTCTGTGAAGTGGTTTGGGACATCTCGAAGATGTAATAAGGAGCTATAACAAGTGCAAGTATTATTATTTAAGTCATTTGCGGTTGATGGGTTACAGAGCCCTGCGTTAGAGGATTTGGGCAAAGACTAGAGATTTGGCATTAGAGTGGACTAATCTTAGAAGAGTGTCTTAGAGGAGCAAACAGTAGTATGAACAATGGATCGATTGGTCTCCAGCTGTGTTGTATATTTCTGTGGTTGTTACCAGATTTATTCAGAGCCTTCAGAATGCAGGTTAGGCCTTTTCCTGTTTTCATGATAACAATGGTGTTGAGCTGCGGTATGTGGCACAGGAAAAAAAAAGAACCACAATGAAATCTGGACTCGTTTGTGAGGATGTCTGAAAGATTACTGCCCTAACTTGTAATTTGTGTTTTCATGGATTTAAATGTGTGCAGCTGTAGAAATGTGGCAATGAGTCATTGCAAAAGTGTAGGTTAACTTGTTTTTAATCTAGTGGCTTTTTTGTATGTATTGTACTTGTGTTCAGCTGTTTGTTCAGCGGTTGAGCGGATAACAGCAACAACAAAATTACATTTGTATAGCGCCTTTCATGTCGGGAGGACGTCCCAAGGTGCTCGATAGACATTAGTGGCAAGGGAGGGGGCGAGACGGAGGGACTGCGGGATGGAGTTCCAGAGGATGGGTGCAGAATGGCGGAAGGCCCGCCCGCCAAGAGTGGGGCGAGCGAGGCGGGGGACACGAAGCAAACCGGAGCCCGCTGGGCGGAGGGAGCAAACAGGCTGGTAGGGGTTAGGAGGTCAGAGAGGTAGGGGGGAGCAAGACAGTGGAGGGATTTGAAGGTGAGGACCAGGATCTTGAACTGTATCCTCTGTGTGATGGGAAGCCAGCGGAGTCGGGCGAGGATGGGGGTGATAGGGTCACGGAGCCCGGTGCAGGAGAGGACACGGGCTGCAGAGTTCTGGGTGATCTGCAGCATGTGAAGGGAGGAGTTGGGGAGGCTGACAAACAGTGAGTTTGCTTAGTCGAGCCTCGATGTAATGAAAACATGTATAAGATCGAGATCTGCTCCTATTCATCTTGTTGGTGCTATTTTGCAGTTGACTTTTGGAGGTTTGTGATGACTGTACCTCCTGATTTTCTCTTCCTCTGTGTGTTTCTGTGTTGAAAGAGTTAGGGATCAGGTGTTTGTTGTGTAGGAAATCACACATAACCAATATTGTAGCAGCTTGGAGATTATTAAATAAGGATGCAAGTTGTAATCTTGATTCATATTCTAAATTTAGGATCTAAAGAGAGCGGGATTGATGATCTTTGCCAACAAGCAAGATGTTAAAGAAGGCATGACGGTAGCTGAGATCTCGCAGTACCTGAAACTGACCTCAATTAAAGATCACCAGTGGCACATCCAAGCTTGCTGTGCGCTGACAGGAGAAGGGTGAGTGCTCAGCATTTGAAGAATTGTTTTATTTACTGGTTTGAATAAAATATTATAATAAATAAAAATAACAACATTTTCCAATAAACTGCATGTTCCAGTCAGGGATTTGAGCTCTGATATTCTTAAAACGTTCCAATGTTTTACTACAGGTCGACTCTGTTTATAACATGGTGGTTTGGGTCAACAAGTAGGATCCTATTTTAAGATGAGATGCTCTAAAAATTGGATGCCATTCAGCCCTTCATATTTGTCACTTCAACAACAAGATTTCATTTATAGAGAGTCTTTCACGTTGGGAGGACGTCCCAAGGCGCTGGACAGTTGGGTCAGGACATACTACAACAACTTGCATTTCTATAGCGCCCCTTACACAGGGTAGCGTCCCAGAGTGTTTAAGAGAGTAGAGTGTCCCAAATATGTACAGAACATGCCACAGAATGCCACTTCTTGCACGTAGCGCAGGTACACAATATGCAGGAAGTGACATGGCCGATGTTTCTGTATGTGCAGGAAGCTGGACGTTTAGCACTGAAAGCCAGAGTGTGCTTCACTTCTGGTGTAGTGCAAGTCCACAAACTATCCTGTGCTACTGAGGGACTCATGCCATAACAAGTCATTTGTTCCTTATCACTATATCAAATGTAAGGATTATTATTATTATTTTTGATATAATGATAAGACACTATATCAAATGCAAGGATTATTATTATTATTTGGTATAATAATAAGACACTATATCAAATGCAAGGATTATTATTAAAGTGGAGTGACTGTATATTTTGTGAGCGAACGCTGACAAGTTAGATGGATGTGAAGCTAAAGTGCTCTGTTAAAACTGTGTGTTCGTCTCCTTTCACAGGCTATGCCAAGGGCTTGAATGGATGACATCAAGGCTTAAGATCAGATGACCTCCACCAAAGGATAAGGATGCATGGATCATTAATAGCTATATAAACCACATTTCTCCCAGTAATGACTTCTTGCCTCGTGCTTGCTGGGTTTACTGGTATTTATTTCCCAGACGGAGCAAAGTTTACTATTTTCACACTGGCTTCAAGTCCGTGTTTGGGAAGACTTCCTTAAGGATCGAGACTGAGAATCAGGACTCAAAATTCAATTGATCATTTATGGCTTTTCTTTCAAAGATGGCTGTGATGAATTGACTTTATTTTTTTCTTTGGAACCAGCACATTCTGCTCAGGGTAGAATTTTATAATATTTGGTAAGTATTAGAGAAGGGAAAAAAATTAAACACGTGTGTTCCAGCATTAGTTCACAAGCTGTGACTTACTTTTTAACTAATCAAACTGTCACAGCAAAATACTGTTGATCAAATAACAATTCAAGTCGTTGATATCAGATATCCAATTTCTCTCAGCAAATTTCAATCAGGTTTTGGTCATAAAAATGCTACGGTGCGAACATAATTTGAACGCAACTATTCTTTTCAAGTAGAAATGAACAAGGAAACGGTGTATTTTAAATATGATAATCCACAGTGTTTTGATGCTTCACTGCGCGACACTTCGGGCAGAATGATGCTGATACCCTTAAATATTCTCAACATTGTATTTAGTAAGTGGGTGCACAGGTATTTATATTTTTAAATGTACAATAGTTCCTTAATGTGAGTGCTACATTGAGTAAGATTCTAACTTATGACAGTCGGGAAAGTTTTTGATTTCTTTTGTAACTTCAGAACTTCTCGACAAGTGGAACCCGAGCAGTCATTTTGAATATTGAGGTTCCGCTTGATCCAGCAGTATTATGTAGCTGAAAGATTAAAAACATTAACACCTGTTAGCAATGCTAACTTAACTTCCCTGATCTCGTTTTGCTGTGCTCACACCAAAAAAGGAAGCTCACGATTCCAGTTTTTGATTTAACACTGCGCCTTTAGTCACTTGACTGAAGTCCATTCTATACTTTGTTCCATAAAGACTGAACTGTATTGAAAATATTTGTGTGACACAGTAGCCAAGTGTGTGGCTTTAATAGCAGTGTTCACATGATTGAAATTTCCAATAGTCTGTAATTGTAAAATACTTTCCAATGTTACAATGCCAGGTTAATTGTAATATTGATTTTCCGACTACATCAATTGGTTCCTTTTTGATCACTGTGATCAAATGCTGCTGTGTGTCCACACCAATGCCACCCAACCCTTTGTGATATATGGGCTTGAAAATGTGCTACCGGGAGGTTTGAACCTTGTGATTCTGTATGGTGGTTTCCTTTGGGTGCCTTGCAGTGTAATTGGACTTAAAGACTGAGATGCAAAAAAAAAAATAGCCTTTAAATGATTCAGAATGTTTTGGGATTGGGAGCGGGATGAGATGCTAGTTGACTCGTGGACTTCAAAATCCTGACCATATTGGGAATACAGTACCATAATGTATTGGTTATTAGTGAGGACCTATATTGAACTCCAAATGGGAAACTTTGTTTCTGCTGTATATACTTGTACATGATAGCTGTCCTCATCGACGCAGAGGCAGAGATTTGTTTGTCCGATGAAGAAATGCAAGGACGCTGAGCTGTAGCATCCAAGCTACATTGATGCATATTTTACGTTATTAAAAGATGTACATGTGCAAATATCCAGTGCCGGAAATTTGAAAATTACACAGTCACGAGGCATAACTTAACGCACGTGGTTCTCCTATAGATTTGCCTTTGTTTCTAGGTCGAGGGGAAGCACTATGTTTCAAACCATTCAACCTTTGTGACAATTGCATGTTAATTTTAGGGAGCAAGGTTTCGTGGGAGAAAACAACTGAAACGAAAGCCATTTGGATAATTCCCTTCTGCGGATCCCGAAGTCAGTCAACTTTGAGAGGAACGTGAATACATAAGAAGTGTCACAAGGGTGACATTCTGTTACGTGACAGAATACCTTCTTGTGAAGAGTCCTAATAACAACAGGACATTTTAAAGATGTAATTCCCGTACCCCGTTGTCAAGAACCATGTAATTTACAACACTTTCAAGACTAGATTGCAGTGAGCTTTGCACAGGGCACAGCTTACAGCATTTAGCCAACTGAAACAGTTGTTTCACTGAGATTACCAGAGTTCTACATTCGAGCTGTGCTTAGACTTCATTAGTGTTCAGTTTTCTGGTAAATGCTACAGTCCCAACTGCTGCTTATCAGCCAGTTATCCTACAAAGAAGTGAGCCCAGGCTACAGAGGTTGGGGACTCCTTAATTTTAGTTTCTCTCCAGGTCACAATGCTCCACTTGGCCAGTTTACTAAATCGTGTAGTTTCCAAATGCAATGGTTGGGATACAGCTGGTACAATCTGTAATGTATCTGACAATAGTTATCCTCTCAACAACTGGATTTGTGGCTCGAAAGTCAACAAAATTGGGAGGTCGATCAATTGTTGAGTGGCATTAGCAGCATTGTGCCGTAAACATTACATTTTATGCTGCGTGGATAAGTTCTCATTCAGGAAGCAACTGTATATTTCACTAAATCATTAAATAACACCTTCCAGCCCTTTATTTTAGTTCGGTTTAAAAGCCCACTTCACAGTATTAGTCAGTTAATGACCATCCTGAACGCTTGCTTTCAAGAAAATAAAAAATGCGTTAATGTCCTAGTTTCTAACATTTTTATTTAGTACCGAGGAGAAAAGAGATCGTCTGCCCTGAATGAATCCAAGGTGTAGTTTACGTTTGTGTTCACAATCCTCTTAAGATACTCTGACTCCTGCTAAATATTATCTAAATCAATTTCTGTTCTCTTATGTATGTACATGGGCAGTGGGGAAGCAGGGAAAAATCCATTTGATGATTTTTCCATCAGATAAAATCTAAGTATTAAATAAATGCAAATACACAAAGAAGATGACCGCAATGAAACCTACAATTAACAGCTTGAAATTGCCATTGTTGTCATTTTAGTTTCGCTTAGCAAATATTTTCTTAAGGGCCAGTTGATCACCATCCGTAATAATAATAATAATAATAATAATCCTTGCATTTGATATAGCGCTTTTCACGTCGGGAGGACGTCCCAAAGCGCTTCACAGAACACACTGTAAAGTGAATTGACTGTATATATGTGGGCGAACGCGGCAGCCAATTGCGCACAGCAATGTCCCACAAACAGTCATAGATTGAATATGACCCAATTTATTATTGTTTTTGATTTTGGAGGGATTATTATTAGGTGTGTGGAGTAAGGAAACTTGCCCAAGGTTTCGCCCTGACCTGCCTGGAAATGAACTCGGGTCTCTTGCTTGCAAAGCGAGTGCTCTAACCACTGAGCTACAGGACTCCACTCCGTAGTATTGTTGCAGATCAAAGTGATGCCAGTGTTCAATGTTGAGGTGTGAATATTTTGTATGTAGTGTCTGACACCTTTGATGGCCTTGGTTACAGTATATAAAAGTAATAAGAAGAACACGGGACCAGCCATTCTATTCACACTGGTAAAAATGGTGATTGGAAGAGACTTTCCACTGGTGTGAACGAGAGCGACAAAGTTCATTTTGCAATGATCTGCTGTGTTGTGATTTCTATCATTGCCTTTGTAGTGCTAACACCTTTGTGAAAATGATGCTCCTTTTCACGACCATATTTGTAATTATTTCTTAGACAGAGTATTTACACAGCGAAAGGGATTGCTACCTCAAAGAAGAAACCTGACAACGTTATATGGGTTTAAGATCTTTCCGTCCAGGTGACCATTTCCTCATTTGTAGAGATTTCTATTCGTACAAAGTTAATTTTATGTGCATTATTATGATGGAGATTAGAGGTTGTTAAGTTTGCTGCAGCTACAACTTTACCAGCAAACGTTTAATTTTTATGGGACCTGCTGGCCACAATTACCTATGCATTGGTGATCTACGCATTAGACCATTATAGTGCTATTTGCTTCAGCAATTCTGTGAACGGTTTATATCCGCCTGAACCCTGATGGGATTAATGTAAGTGTTGTTATTTTGCAGTGATTCTTTCTAGGCAATGGTCAGATTGAAGAGCCCTGTTTGATTTTGCAAGGGATGAGTGCAAACCACATTTTTTTGTTTTTTTTAACAGCATTTTGTCCAAGATAAAGCAACTTGTGTGAGAAGCGAATGTCAGGCTGGGGAAAGTGAAGAAGAGCTGATAGCCTTCGTTCATTTCATTTGCTTATTCTGAGATTTGAGGATCATGTTGCCATCTTGGTTATACTGCATGCAACTTTGCAGAGTCTCTTTGTAATGCAAAATGATCTTCACTCAGGCACGTTGGAAGCTTTTACAGCAGTACTTTTTAACCTGACCGTTTTAGTGATGGCAATACTTGGATTGTTTTTGAATGTGAAATTCCATTTCCCCTTTTCCCCCTTTTCCTGTGATTTACATTGCTTATTTTGGAATCTATCTTCTGACATTCGACAATAATAAACGTGAAAATGTAATGAGCCATACAATCTCATTCTAGTTCAGTGTCTGTTGGCAATAACCTTTGGCTTCTGTGCCTTGGTTCGTTCCATTGCTTCCTCTATACCTGTGTCAATAGATTGTATGGCATGGACCTGACTCCTAAATCACCAACCAGCTAAGTAAAAGGTTTTGTAGTTGTTAAACACATTACAGATAAAGTGACAGTCAGCAGCTGAGGTCAGTCTTAAAGCAATGCTAAGAGCTTCATTTACACCAGGAGTTAAAAGGGGCTTACAAGTAGCAAGATCTTTTCATCTGCTTTCTCTGGTTTATGAATACACAGTCACTATTGACAGTAAAACGCTGCAAGTACTTTGAGATGATAAAGCAGAACAATACAAAATTTATATTTGTATAGCGCCTTTCACGTCGGGAATACGTCCCAAATATATCAAATTCAAGAATTAATATTATTATTGCTCACTTTGATTAAATTGGTAACTACTTGGACCTTGTGATCTTCCTGCCTTGTCACTTAACTTTTGATAAGAGTCCATAAGTCTGTTTAGCAGAGTTCTTTGAAAGTCTCCAAACAGTTTTCATCTCAAAGCTCAACTGCCAGAGGGGAGATTCGCTTTTCTCTACATATCCTCTTTGATTCTCACCTAAATCTGGTTTCTCGATGAACTTGCTAAATCCGAGAGATCATAACTCGGAGCAAAAAAAAATCTATAGATGTCCCATCAGTAATATTGACATAGTTTTCTTAAGGTTCATGGGTTTGTCCAGTGACGATGGATGGCATTGGAATCTCTCGTGACCCCGAGTAACTTCACTGCAGACAGTTTTCCATCCTGTGCAAAGTTCATAATCAGCCAGGAGAGGGTTAATTGTACCAAAAATTGCTTTGATGGACTGTTTGCAGTACGCAATCAGTGTGTGACCTTGTGCGTTGCGACTGATCACAGCTAACATAACTTACAGATACGATGTTAACATGTTTATTCTAAGCTGTGCTGTCAAGTTACAGAAATCAATTTGTGTAGGAATTCGCTTGAATTCTACATACGGTGCCTTTCTTTGTCGACGAGTTGAAACTGTTTTGCCCAAAAAATAAAGCTCTCTTGCCGGGTTCTTATTCCAGCCGGGGTGAGGCTCTGAAGAACGGTTGCTTTTCTCTGAGAGGAAAAAGGGAAGGAAAATCTGTTTCCAGACTATTCCTGGGTTCCATTTAAAGACCAGTTCAGAGCGGCAATGGTGAATACTTTGGACGTGTGCCAACTGCTCAGCTGTCCTCTTGCCTGCAAAGTTCAAGAAGCCATGATCCTGTGCTTGAAGCAATGCAGCGGAGAGCAGCAAACTGATCCTCTAGTGTTGGGGGAATACGCTGTGAGCAATTTGTTCAGAACAAGTCTGCGGAAACACTACTTCAGTGACGGAGCAGTTAACCATGTGGAAAAGGGAAAACGGTGGAAGCTGAATGTGTTGATTCTTTCACAAACAAATTATACGGATTTCTGTTAAGAAATAATATCTCGAGATGTAGTTTGGGACACGACGTGTGTGATGGCCAGGTTGGTGGAAAGTGAACTGGATGGACCTGGGTCTTCTTTCGCTTAGCAAATTTGTATGTACTTAATGATGGTGAGGTCTTCAGCCTCCAAAGGGAATTTCTCATACGGGGGACCTTATAATCATAGAATCGTAAAGCACAAATAGACGCCATTTGGCCCAAAAAGTCAAACTATAGGAGGTTTCAATCGTCACCGAGAGAGAAAATCCAGAGCAACACTTTCAGATGTCCCAAGGCAGCTGAACAACACAACATGGGCTTAGGTGTAGTGTAATGAATTGCAAGTTAAGGACAGATACCAGGAAGTATTCTGGTTTTATTGCTCAGTCTGATTGGTTCAAGCAATTTATAATATTCCTTTTTACATTTGATACAGTGCTTTATCATGCCATTGAGATGTCTCAAAAGTGCTTCACGGAAATTACTGTAAAGTGTAGTGTCTGTATTTTAGAGGTGAACACGGAGCCAATGTGCAGACAACAATGTCTCGCAAACAGCGGTGAAGTGAACGACCGATTTTTAAAAAAAAAATCTGTCTGGTTGTCGGCCAGAACATACGGAGAAACTCCTTTTTTTTTTCGAATCACACTTTTGACCTCAACGGGCACAGACGAGGCCTCGGTTTAACATCTCATTCAAAGGAC